TTCGGAACGCGTCCGGATTGTGATGTGGAGGTCCGTGGTAGAATTTGGCTTGAAATACCGAAAGTTGGAATTTTGGAAAGTTTGACCAGGGGGTGGACTTTTTGATATTGGGGTCGGATTGGATTTTTGGAAGTTGGAGTAGGTTCGAGTTATCATTTATGACTTGTGTGCAAAATTTGAGGTCAATCGGACGTGATTTGATATGTTTCGGTGTCGTTTGTAGAATTTAGAAAATTCAAAGTTCATTAGGCTTGAATCCGAGTGCAATTCGTGTTTTTGATATTGTTTGAGGTGATTTGAGAATTCGACTAAGTTCGTATGATGTTCATGGATGTGTTAGTATAATTGATTGAGTTCCGACGGCCTCGGGTGGATTTCGGATGGGTAACAGAGTTTAATTTGGCTATTTCTAGAATGTTTCGACGTCGTTTCTTCAATAATAAGTGGTATCATATTAAACAACTGAGCTCCAAATTTAGTTTTGATTGAAGCACTAGATCCATATTGAAATTTTGAAGCCATAGCAAAAAGAATCGTCGAATTGGGACATCGTATGAGAGAGTTATGCCTATTTTCGAGTCGGGAAAAAATGATTTCCTGTCGCCAGCGTTCAGGGTAGCGTAGGGCGCTATCCCTGGCGCTGGGATTTTTTTAGCTACTGGAAACAGCGCCACAGGCAGTGCCCCACGCCACCTGTGGCGCCCGAATTGTAAGACTCCATAAAACGGGAGTTTTTGGCCATTTTTGACAAAAACATAGTTGGGGGAGCTCGGTTCGGGCGATTTTCAAAGGCAAACTTCACAAATTGGACTGGGTAAGTGATCTTAACTTGATTTGGTCCGTTATTCATGAATCTAACATTATTTCCAGCACTTATTTCATGATTTGAGGGATTAGGATAAAGATTTTCCGAAAAATTAATTTGAGATTTGGAGGTCGAGTTGATGTTGGAATTTGGTAAAATTGATATGGTTGGACTCGTGGTTGAATGTGTGTTCATATTCCATAACTTTGGTCGGGTTCCGAGATGAGGTCCCCACATGCGACATTTGGGTTAATTTCCGATTTTTGTTGGAAAATTAGTATTTTCATATAGATTAATTCCTATAATATGTATTGAATACATCGAATTAATTGTGGCTAGATTCGAGGCGTTCAGAGGCTGATTCGCAAGGTAAAGGCATAGCAGAGTAAAGAATCACACAATTTGAGGTAAGTAACACTTTTAAACTTGGTTCTGAGGGTTCGAAACCCCAAATTATGTGGTATGTAATTGGTATTGAAGTGACGCACATGCCAAGTGACGGGCGTGCGAGCATGCACCGTGAGAATTGTGACCTGGTTGATTCCATGGCACTGTATAGTGGTTCTATCCGGTTGATATTGTGTTTTCATCACGTGATAAAGTAATTGAGCTGTCGATCATGCTAGATATCATGTTTAGGCTTTATGCCGGTACTATTGGGACCCGTAGTGGTCGCTTGCTGTCATCTTGCTGATTTCATTGATATTTCTTACTCTGTCATATTCATTCATTTTATATCATATCTCAGTCTCAATTGTTAGTTGTTGATACATCATATCATTGTTTTCGGGCTAGTTTCATGACATTGTGAGCCCGTGTGTGAGACTGGAGAGATTGATGACTAAGTGAGGTTGAGAGCCTGATTGTGATTGACAGTTATGGGATCGGGCTGCACGCCGCAGCAATTATACTGAGTTATGATAGCGCTTGGGCTGAAGGAGCCCCTCCAGATTCTGTACACACCCCCAGTGACCGCGATTGATATTATTGATGGATGGATCTTCCCTGGACATGGATCTTGTCCGAAGCACTTGATATCTGGAGATGGATCTTCTCCACAGGGCTGGATTGGCCTTCCTCGGTACTGGGTGACTGATGGTCAATGATGTATATATTCCGGGATAGATCTTATTCTTTTTTGGCAAATAAAAGATTTTATTACCAAAGGCATAATGTACGATCAAAGAAAGAGAAACTGCAGGAAACAAGCATCGATAATTTGTTCCATTCAGAGACTCAAACCTCTAAATAATATTTGTATCTATCTTTCACTAATTTTTTCCAGGAAATCTAAAAAATATTTTATGAACGACTCGTTAATTATGGAGAAGATATGCAAATCCCTGCATGCTTTTCTCCTTTTTGATAATCTTTATCCACCATCAAATAACCAAACCAAGAAAAGGATAAATTAAATGATGAAATGGATCGGCTTGCACTTTACAGTGAAATTCAAAAATAGCCAGATTTACAAGTGGTCATTAAAAAATAGCCACAGTTTCAAAAGTAATCGAAATTTAGTCACTTTTCATGTAAAGATAAATCTAAACGAAAACACTTTTCAAAATCTGGAAAAATACTCCAGTATAATATATTGGAATTCCAGTATAATATACTGGAACTCCAGTATATTATACTGGAGTTACAGTATAATATACCGGTCCAGCATAATATGCTGGAAGTTCATATACAGGTGTACCAATCTCAAGTATATTATGCTGGAACTTTCCGTGTTGCAGCAAAATAGTGGCTATTTTTCAATGACTTTGTAAATGTTGGCTATTTTTGAATGACCAGTCCAAAAACTGGCTAGCCCATGCTATTTTTACGTGGGCGAAATGCAGCAATAGCCATTTTTAAGCCCGCTATTTAAAATATTTCCGCAATTTATAATGTATTTAAATATTAGTCAATTCACCCAAACTTCAGGACTAAGTATCCTGAATTTGAAAATTCAGGACTTAGTGTCCGGACTTAGTGTCCTGCATTTTTGACGTGCTAATTTGAAATTCAAGACTAAGTGTCCTGAAGTTCTAAACTACTAATTTAAAATTCAAAGCATACGACTCAAACTTCAAGACACAATTTTGAACTTTAGGACACGATGTGCTGAAGTTTGAATTTTGAGGTTTAAACTCTAGGATGCGGTATCCTGAAGTTTGAGTGAAATTTGTTAATCTTTAAATATATTATAACCTATGGATATATTGTAAATAGCATGCTTAAAAGTGGCTGCCTGGTGTCATTTTCACTTTTTGTGTTTGGCCACTTTAATTTCGCCTCTGGTAATAATTTTGACAAGATTGTTAATAAGTTCCTTGAGTTTTTTCTTTTAAACTGAAACAAAATTTCCAGCTTAGACCATAAAAGGGAGAAGTGGAATTGGAATTGATAATAAAGTGGTAGTTAGAATGCTATTGGGATTTGGTTTGTCAACAACCTTTTTCTAATAAACCGACCCTAGTAGAAATGTAGGATCATAGTTCATTTTTTCTTCCATCTTTTTTAAAACAATATAAACAGTCAACAAGAATAATTTCTCCTAATAATTAGCAAAAAAAGTGGTCTTTACTGAGTCAATAATATAATGTATAGGCTTGAAACTGATAATTCTAGAGAAGAATTAGGCAGTAGTGAACGACTTCGTGCTTTAGAAGAAACAATATATGAAGTGAAAAAAGGGGGAGAAAACTACAAATATAAGACTTCTTTCTTAAAATTTTATGGGCTAAGAAATATGGGGAAGGGCATTTTTAATTAACCTAAATAGATGTCCACCAAACTGTATAAATTGAAAATAGCCGAATAATATATAATCTATGCATATTATAAATACAATTATGTATAATTAGTACATAATTTTGCTCCTATCACTCTTTTGATTGATAGCAAACCGAACTCAAAAATCTATTGATAGAGTCCGAAACAAAAGAGAAAACGTTATAACCTTATACTCAGTGCATGTAATAAATTTTTTATAAAATTAGACGTAGATTTTACAATGAGTTTCTAGGATTTTCTATCTATATAATGTGAATGAATTTTAAGTTATAATTTAGAAAGTATTTCTTTAGTGAAAATCAAAACTCAAGAATGTGTATATGCAAAAAAGAAGAAGAGAGAAAGTGGAACTTAATGGTATACTTTATGAACATAATATTAATAACAAGTTCATAAAAGAACTATTCTATCTATAATTTTAATAAACTTAAATGATATAATTTATAATAAACATATAAAAAACTATAGTTAAATCACTTGGGAAAAAAGAATAAATTATATATAATATTAAAAAAATTACCTCCAGAAGGGATTGAAAATGTCAAGGGCAAAATAGACATTACATAGGATAGGAGCATGCTAATGTTTATTGTTCAAAGTTGGAGGAGGAGTTTGATTTATAAAGCAAAGTTGGGGATGCAAATAATTTTCAAAAAAAAAAAAAGAAACCGTATAAAATAAGATTATTCACGTCTAGTACTGCGCAATGCGGAGTTACATGGTCCAAAAGAATTTAATTGAATCTGTCGTGAAAAATTATATAGCGCAAATAGGATAACTTTAAAGAAAAGAGATCTTTATACATACATATACAAAGAATTTTATTTTATTATAGTGATAAAGACGACTAAAAAAGTATTTTTGGCTGTTGGTTCAAATTTTAAGTTTTGCATTCTTGTGAATTCGTTTTAAATCCTTTCTTTAAAACTCATAAGTCCGCCATCTTGAGTGCTCCTGGCGTGGCTGATGGGATTTGGTGTTGAGTAGTTTGTCCGAAAGAAAAGTCACAGAAATTCGATAGTGAATTGAAAAATGGACAAAGATTAGTTTTAGTCCGCGGTCAATATTCAGTAGCCCCGAGAATAGGTGAAGTTCACCAATAGTCTGTTTGGCCAAGCTTCTAAAATTAGCTTATTTTGAAAAGTACTTTTTTTAGAAGTGTTTTTTTCAAAAGTAATTTTAGTGAGAACCAATTTGTATTTGACTAATTAATTGATAAGTACTTCTGAATAGCAATTAGCGTTTGGTCAAACTGTAAAAATGTACTTTTAAGCGTATTTTTCTCTAAAATGCTTCTTAACTTTTTTGACCGAAGATGTCCCATACATTCGTTGTATTGACTCTGGTTCAAGTGCGTTAGAAGTACTACTGTAACACGCACAATAAAATGCGTATTTTAGGAGGGGATGAGTTTCTTCATCACAACTACAAATTAACGTATCACAAAACATTCATTTCTATACTTGAAACAAACATTGTGGCACGTTAACATTTGCAATATCCAGAAATGAAGAAGGTTGTTGTTTTCTATTGTCTTCTTGTAATAATTCTCATGTTATCAATGGATGAGTTGTATCTACCAAACCAAGTCAGGATCTTGGACTTGTCCCCTATCAAATCCGAAGGTAAATGTTAGTTAAAGTGTACGACCAACTCATTTAAAAGTTTAAGTTTTTAGAAAGAAGTTTATTTTTATCTATTTTATTATATTTTCAACAATGTTTATTCCTATGTCAGAAGAAGATAGGAATGATTTAATCCGAGGTCGCAGTAACAGGGTGACTTGGAGCAATGCCAATCCTTCACCTTTTCCAAATATTAGAAGTCATTAGTATGGTTCTAAGAGACCTTTAATTTACTGATTTCATTAATTTTTCTTTCTTCTTCTTTTATTTTATTCTTGAAAAATAACTACCTTCATGTGCACGCAGTGGATGTGGTGACAATTGCTTTTAGGGCTGCTGAGGATGGGCATGGGAAATACTTCGGCAAAATTTGGGATGAGATGGAACAAAATGGCATCTATAGGCTGTTTGGGTGGTGTGTTCCTATATTGTATTCTATTTCATTGTTATTAAATAAGATATTTTATGGCTGTTACTTAAAATATATTATGTTATATTGTTAAATTCATTGATATGTAACCATATAAGGACTATCATTTATGTAAGCATCTATTTGGTGTGGTGGAATTGTTACGTTATTTTTCTTTTTCATTTTGCACTTACTATTATTTGGTAATTTCATTCGATCGCAATTTATTCTATTTTTATTTTTAACTCCCCCTTTACCATAATTTATCTTCTTCCTTTTTCAAATTATCACTCCTTTCATTAGTATTTAGTACCACTCTATCTTCTATTTCAAATTGTTAACTATCTCATTCTTTAATAGCTCTTCCTCTTTAGTACTACTCCTTGCCACTATATACAGGTAATCCTCTTTCAAATCACTTTAGCACTGTCTCGTCCGTTGACATTTTTTATTTTTTGCCTTCTTTTAAGTTTTGAATTAATGGTGTTTAACTAAATGTTTTAGTTAGTTTACAATACAATACAATCAAACCAAACGAGAAGAAAGTTATTAATACTAAATGCTCCCTCCGTTTCAAACTAGCTAATAATTAAATTATAAATATGCACCAGGCCTAGTGACTTGATATTTTTATTTCAAGAATTTACTGAAATTACACTGGAAAGGAAGCGTGTCACGACCCGGATTTCCCACCCTCGGGAGTCGTGATGGCGCCTACTCGTGAAAGCTAGGCAAGCCGAATATTATAAATTCATTACCCTTTTTATTAAGCATGTTCAACAATTCAAAGTAATAAGTGATTAAACAGTGGAATAAATTAAATAACCAGAAATGCGGGAGATGAAAGCTTAATGGTTTAACCAAATATTGCTACATAATCTGAAGTACAATACTACCCAGAATTAGGTGTCACAATTTCACAGACTGTCTAAGAGTACTACAAATAAAGGGTCCGAAGAATAATTACAAACTGTCTCAGAAATACATAGAAGAAACAATAGAGAAAGATAGAAGGAGACACCAAGGCCTGTGGACGCCTGCAGGACTACCTCGGGTCGCCTGAATGGACTGAAGACAGCACCCTCACTGCGGTCCAAATGCTCCGGTATCTGTATCTGCACACAGTGCAGAGTGTAGTATCATCACAACCGACCCCATGTGCTGGTAAGTGTCTAGCCTAACCTCGGCGAAGTAGTGACTAGGCTAGGACCAGACTACCAAATAAACCTGTGCAATTAAATCATATACAGCAAAAAGTAAAAGCAGATATTCACAGTTAAAGATGGGGAGGGGAAGGCATGCTACGGGGAGTATCAGATAACAACAAAATACCAAAGAGGAATGTAAAGAAACCATAATTTTGTTGCCAGCAATAATGAGGAAAACAAACACAGTATTCACTTTCATTTCTTTCTCGTTGCAGGCGTGCAACCCGCTCCCATTTCATATATCTCGTTGCAGGCGTGCAACCCGCTCCCATTTTATATATTATCGTTGCAGGCGTGCAACCCGCTCCCATTCCATATATTACCGTTGCAGGCGTGCAACCCACTCCCATTTAATATATTACCGTTGCAGGCGTGCAACCCGCTCCCATTTCATATATCAACACCAATCATAGAAGAATCCCGGCAAGGGAACAATAATACAACAACAACATCCCGGCAAGGGAACAATAATATAACAACAACATCCCCGCAAGGGAACATGAGTATAACAACAACATCCCGGCAAGGGAGACAATATCATAAACAAACATCCCGGCAAAGGAACCAACAACGATAATCATAATATTAGACATGGATAAATCACAACGGAGTCACAACAACTACAATATTAGACTCACGGGCATGCTTGACACTGACGTATAGATACTCGTCACCATGCCTATATGTCGTACTCCACAATTAATACATAGCAAATACGACACAACTCCTAATCCCTCAAGCTAAGGTTAGACCAAACACTTACCTCGATACACGAACACAATTCAAGCCTCAACTATCGCTTTACCTCTTGATTCCACCACCAATTCGCTCGTATCTAGCCACAAGTTACTTAACTATATCAATAAATGCTAAATGAATCAATTCTAATGCATGGAAATAGGTTTTCTAAAGTTTTTCCCAAAAAAGTCAAAAATCGACTCCGGGCCCACATGGTCAAAACCCGAGGTTCGAACCAAAACCCGATTACCCATTCACCCACGAACTCAAATATATAATTTGTTTTGAAATCGGACCTCAAATCGAGGTCCAAATCCCCAAAATTTGAAAAACCTAGGTTCTACCCAAAACACCCAATTTCCCCCATGAAAACCCTTTATTTTAAGTTGAAATCATGTGAAAAGATGTTAAAGATTGAAGAAAATGAGTTAGAAACGACTTACAATCGATTTGGAGAAGAACTTTCCTTTGAAAAATCGCCCAAGAGAGTTTATGTTTTGAAAGGGTTTGAAAAATGGTTGAAAATGCGTCTAAGTTATGATTTTGCAGGTTGCAGATGTCGCAATTGCGGCGACCAGGGTTCGCAATTGCGAACCCCTCAGACTGCTAACATCGCATTTGCGAACCTAAGGAATCCAGTCCTCTTCGCATTTGCGATACTGCCTTCGCATTTGCGACCAAGGCAGCCCAGGCCACTATTCGCATTTGCGACACATTGCTCGCATTTGCGAGCCAGGCTTCGCAATTGCGAAGCCTGCAACACAACAGAAATTCCTAAGTCCAAATTTCACTCCGTGGCCTATTCAAAACTCACCCGAGCCCTCGGGGCTCCAAACTAAACATGCATACTAACCCAATAACATCATACGGACTTGCTCGTGCATTCAAATCACTAAAATAACATCAACAACGAATTTAGCATCAAAATCAAAGAAAATCTCAAGAACTTTTAAAGTTTCAAATTTTACAACTAAGGTTCCGAATCACGTCATATGACCTCTGTTTCTTACCAAATTTTACAGGCTCAACTTAAATCACATATAAGACCTGTACCGAGCTTCGGAACCAAAATACGGGCCCGATACCATCGAATTCCAAACACATTTTATTTCCAAAAACTCATATATATATTCCAGAAAACAATTTTCTTTAAAAATTTATTTCTTGGGCTTGGGACCTCATAATTCGATTCCGAGCATACGCCCAAGTCCCATATTTTCCTACGGACCCTCCGGGACCGTCAAATTACGGGTACGGGTCCGTTTACCCAAAATGTTGACCGAAGTCAACTTAAATTTATTTTAAAAGCAAAATTTATCATTTTTCACAGATTTTCACCTAATGGCTTTCCGGATACGCGCCCGGACTGCGCACGCAAATCGAGGTGAGATAAAAAGGAGGTTTCAAAGCCTTGGAACACAGAATTTATTTCTAAAACAAGTGATGACCTTTTGGGTCATCACAAAGGGGGAAAAGGCAGATTAACTGGAGTGAAGGGAATGGTGCATATTTATAAAAAATTCAAACCGGAAAACACAAAATAGAACATCAAGAGAAAATGGCAAACAGTGCAAAGAAATTTAACAACCAGAACTCGGCCAAAATAGACTACATATTTCACAATGAAGATTTTCATTATAAAATGACTATACCACTATATTGCACTGCTCATTACTGAAGTTTGTTGGTGTTCCTTGAAACCAACATAAAATAAATTTCCTAATTTATACCTCTATTATAAGTCAATGTTATTATTCCTACTCATAAATCTCACAGATTTTTAGAAATCTAAATTAAGAGTACCCTAGTAAAAACAATCTTGGATTTCAAAGATACTTTAGAATAAAAATTATATCATTTTTAAAAACACATCAAGCTTCAACTATCTGGAATTAGTAGCACACAATAAAAATTACTCCCTATGTCTTATATTATGTGTCGTGTTTCTTTTTTACACGCCCCTTAAGAAATATTAATTAGGAAAAGTGATATGAACCTATTGGACAAGTTTACCCCTGTGGAGCACGTGAGATGGGGAGATTAATAAATAGCACAAAGTGGGGCAGCGAAAGGCATACGAATTATGTTGAAGCTTCGGCTCAAGACTCTGCTTCTCGTCTCCTTTCTCTGAGTTCTGCTTCTCATCCCCATTCTTATCTCTATTCTTAGTTACTTAGTTTCATTATAGTAGTTTGAGTGTTGCAATTGATATCTCAAGGTTGTAATCAGTGTTCCAGTTCTTATTATATAGTGAGGAATTTCGGTATTGTTACATTGGTGCTTTCATCCATAGGTCTTCAATGGAGGACCAAATAATTCGAACTATCGATGGTTCAATTAAGGTCATGAAGGATTCATGGTCTAAGGATTTGGCTGAAATTTGTTCACTGTTAAAGGAGTTGGTTGGAAACCTTGCAACAAGTAAGCCCACTCCGGTGGAATTCCGACGATTCTGTGGCGAGAATCCAGAGTTCTGGATTTCTCAGGCTGAAAGATACTTTGCATTCTATAGAATTTCAGAAAACAACAAGTTACTTCTCGCCTCGTCCTATCTCGATGGAGAAGCTTTAGACTGGTACCGATGGCTCTTCCGGAACAAGCAGCTGGTGGATTAGGAACATTTTATTGCGAAGGTGCGAATTCGTTTCCGTCAAAAGGGCTAGAATCAGCCGAAGGACGATTGGCAAAGCTCCGACAAACAACTACTGTGTCTGAGTACCAAAGTCGTTTTGAGGCTATTTTATTAGGCTTTGGTGAGGCAGAACAATCTGACTAAGAGGCAAAAAGGAAGCGTGCAAGGTGTTCGATGAAATGTTTGAAAAAGAGATCGATCATAAGCATAGCATGGATGTTGGCAATACCAATGACCAAGTATTCAACATTAGTTCTCTTTCAAATGTAACTACCTTACTCCCTATAACACCAACGGAGTCTGCCTTCAAGGATGGAAAGTCCGAGGAAGAGAGCGATGTGAAAGTGCTAGTCGAAGGCTCAGTGCCTGCGGTTCAACCGCAGCTGACTGCTACTAGCCTAATCAAGAAAGCTGCAAATATCGAAAAGGAAGCTGCAAATATCGAACAGGAATTGGTTCCAGAGCACTTTCACCTAATCTTATAGCATCTCGCTCACAAGACGGATACAAAACATCTTGAGAAAATTATGTCGAAACATTTGGAGTATATTATCAAGTCTCGGGTTCCAAGT